CCCACCTATCTTTAACACTCTCCTGATTTCAAGAACTCATCCAGCTTGCCTATGAACAATCACAGAAAAATAACTCCGAGTGTACAAACCAGAAACTTATTCCAAAGGTCCATGGCCCTCTGTGAAAAGGAAAACATTCTGACACCAACTCATGTGCATACGTCCCCCAATTCCCCTAATTTATCCAATTCAAAGAATCTATCCACGTGTTATCCTTTATCACTGTAAACCATAAAAGGAAGATACATTTGCATTTAGATAGAACCTTTCATGACAACCAGAAATTGTAAAGTCCCTATGTGACTATGGTAAGTACTTGCAAGGATCACGAAGGATTACCCAGTGCTCCTTTTAAAAATAGTGTCATAGGATCTTTTACAAACATTGGAATGAGCTGACTTTTCACCCAAAACATCTGTAACACTGTAGCACTCCCTCAGCCCTGTACAGGAATAGCAGCTGAGATCTTTTTGCTCAAGTCATGGAGTCAAGCCAATTAAATTTAAAACACACTAAATGGCTGTAAAGTAGATTGGGGCATCCGGCAGTTAGGAACGTTGCTATATAAATGAAAGCCCTTCTCCCCTTATTCACACCCCCCACACATACTTGGGAATTTCCCCCAGTTTGGCGCTAATTGGACAATCCTACTCAGATAAGTCACTCAATGGGATACAGAAATGTCCAGCAAGAGAATTCTTCAGTAAGAGGAATTGGGTTTCAGTTCAGATGCAATGTGAAGTGATATCTGCTGGCACTGAGCCAGGTTCAATTAGGCCATTAAAGAACCCCCATTGTGGCAGGTATGAGGCATGTGCACATTGCAAACTGGAAGTATTCTGCCACATTAGTGAAGTCCAAAAGAAAGATCAATGCCAGTGACCACAACTGAAACAAGCATTGAACCCTTTCCAAAAGCAAATGAAGGGCCTTCCTCCTTCAAAGAGCCCCCACCATGAGATTGGCTTTCCCTGAGGCAGCAGTTAGGAAAGTCAGGTTCTCTGGTAGCTGTAATGTTTTAGGTAAGGCCACAAGGTAAATTTTTCATCATCCTGAATGGGGCCCATCATCATACATTCTTTCGACCCCCAAGCTCCATCGTTCACAATAGCATCGTCCAGCATTTCCTCTCCAAGCCAATGACTCCCATCTCCCCACTTGCAGCCCCCACTTTATTATTCACTGAGAGTCACTACCGCAATCACAGCTCTTCTTCAGAATATAAACTATTGAATTACAATAATTTAGTTTATACTGATTGCTCACACATTTCAGAGCAATTCAACAGATTCATATTTTATTGCAACATTTACCAACCAAATGGGCTAGAGCACAGGGCCACATATTAACCCATAATTCTTCAGTGCCATCAATAGAATGAGCAATAGAACAGAAAATGCTTTCTTTTGCATATTATCCAGGAAAATCAATGTTCAAAACAATGTAATGCAATTTTTGTCCTTCTGGTCATCAAACTGCCCCTGCTGCTTGACTACTGACCTTTATAAGATGTGAGCTGACATTTGCCACACTACAAGTGGGCTGGTTGTTGTGTTTTGCTTATCCTGTACTGCTCTGGAATAACCTGTATATTTACACAACTGATAGAACCTTTAATGATGAACGAACTAGTATACATTAGAACAGCCAAGTTAATGAGGCAATAAATGGCTCCTGCACATTGCAGAAACAACTTAGCCTGTGGCCTTGTCATTTAGGGGCAAGCAGGAAGTGTTTCTGCCCAGGAAATGTGCTAGCGTTGATGCCTTTTAATAGCTGCTCATTGTCTTTCTTATGTGTTTTATGGCATTTAAAATACTAGTGAAAGAATGGTGGAAGAGCTTTAAATAAATGGCACAACCTTGGTGGATTTTAATTGCAACACGAGTTGGTAATTGGTTGAGAGGACACAGTCAGAAAGAAGAGATAAATGAAAAGTATTATGATTGGCAGAATGTGACTTGCCCGCAGGACATACGGTGGTGTCAACCCTTTCACTCTAGTTATCAATGACTTAGATGAAGGAGTAGAGTATTATGTCCAAGATTGCAGATTACACCAAGTTAGAGAGATCAGAAGATTCTGCAGATGCGAACATTAAGTTACAAAAGTTAGGAAGATGGAGGGCCAATGGCATGCTAACAATCCAGAGGCTCAAGATAATATTCTAAAGTTACAGGTTCAAATCCTACCACAGCAGCTGGTTGAAGTAAAACCTGGAATTGAAAACCAGTGTCAATAATGTTGATCATGAGACCATCATCGATTGTCATAAAAACTCATTGACTTCACTATACGCACTTTGAGCAGGGAAAATAACAGTCTTACTCAATCTGTCCTATGTATGTCTTCAGATCCACAACATGATTGGCTCTTAGCTACCCTCAGAAATGGCCTCGCAAACCACTCAGTTCAAGGGTAATTGGGGATGGGCAATAAACTTTGACCATGCCAGCAATGCCCACATCCCATTAAAGACTAAAGTGGGCAAAAAAGATTGAGTGCAGTCTGGGGAGTGTGGTCATCTAATGTGGACCCAAGAAAAAGAAAAGAATTTTCTTCGGGAGGAACTAGGAATTGTGGAGGTGTCAAAATATAAAAACCACTAAAAGCTAGTCACAGGTATAAGAATAATTATATGATGGCCTTTTTCTCAAGGAGCTATAATACTCGAACAGCAAGCTATGTTTCAGTTGTCGGAGCCTCAGTCGGATCACACCCGGAGTTCAATTGGAAAAAAACATCAGGAAGGATACATTGACCGGAAAGGGAATATAACGTAGATTCACTAAAAAGATACAAGCGTTGCAAAGTCAATTTACGAGGACAGGTTGCCTAGTATTTCCTCGAGTTTCAAAGATTGAGGAACAGTCTTATCAAAGTGTTTAAAATAAGAATGGAATTCAACAGATGAGGTACAGAGAACTATTTTCTCTAATAGGGGAATCCAGTATAATGACATAGTTCTAAAATTAGAACGAAGTTATTCAGAAGTGAATTCAAGAGGCATTTATTTATATGAATAATGGGGCAAAGTCAGATTTGCGCTCCCAAATAGTGAGTGAAATGTTCAAGACTGAGATTGAAAGATTTTTATTAGTACAGGGTATCAATGAATTTGCACTAAAAGGTGAGCAAATGGATTTAAGGTACAGATCTGTTTTAAAAATTTATTCATGGGATGTGGGCATCACTGGCTGGGCCAATATTTATTGCCTCTTGTCTTTGTTGGTAATAAAATTAGCTTGACAGGGACTGAATGTCCTCACCCTGCTCCTATCAAATTGATACATTCTACTTGTAAAATAATCAATTTCAAATACTGCATAAGAATAATATGAATCAACCTGTTCATTGGTTCTTTGTTGCATTGGTATCTTCAGGCCAATTGTTTTGACAATGTGACATAGACATTTCTTTTGAGTTTTGACTGATTAAGTGTATATTATGGGAAAATGATTGCACAAGATTCAGAAAGTTACCTCTGCATAGCTATGATTTTTACATGCTTCATGCACCTCCAAATTCTTACTTATAACAACTTGAAAATAACTGTATAAGCCCCTTCTTACTGGAACTGATTATTTTTAGAAAGCTAAGGTTAACACCACATAGCTATTGAATAGGAATTAATTGGAGCAGTAATTGCAGTCTACATTCACATAGAAACGCTAACAAAGACTGTTTCTCTAGCATAGAGTTCTCTTATTCTTTTAGTGATTCAACAGAGATGAACGAGAGCTTCCACTGATATGCCAGCTTTCATATCCTCAGAACATGTCCAGTGGATTTTTATATAAGTAGTCACTGTCGTTATGCAGGCTAATTCATGTGTCAGTTAGTGCATTGCAAGGCGCCATGGTCAGCAACAGATTGAATAGGGAATGATTTTACTTCTGGGGTAAACATAGGATGTTGGGAGAAATCCCCTTAAGAATCAGATGGATTCTTAGATTAGTGCATCATCCAAAATATTGCACATCCCAATAATGCAGCACTGCAACAGCACCATACTGAAATACCACCATTGTTTTCTCCGCTCGTGTCCTACTGGAACGCAAACTCATAATCTTCTGACTTTCAACACCATGGGTTTTACCGCTGATAGAATGGATGTAGTTAAGAAAATAACCTTTGTCATCTTGGGATCCAATTAACATATCAATGCTTCTAACAACCAGGAGCATATAATTCAGACTAGAAAAGTTACTTCTACCCCTCCTGAAATTCACCACAGTTCACTGGGTCTTTGCTAACTATCAAATATTAATGCCCTCTCCATCACGTCTTCCAGTTTCTTAAACAGCACTTCTTTCTCACCCGCTTATCAAAGCCCTCAGAGTGAATTCCAAACTGAATTTGCAAGACATTGCTACAATTGAACTAGACTGAAGGCATTTTACATCTCCAAATCAGCACAACTGAGGTGAGCGAACAAGTATACAGTCAATTCAGTCAGTACCAGTCTCATTGCAAACAAAAGTTTCAACCCAGAACTTGAACACTAAATGCAAGCTGACGTTTAATTTCAGGACGAGGTATTAAACTGCGATCTTGAACATCTCTTCTGGTGGATCACAAAAGATCACTTAGCACATTTGGGCAAGCAGGGAGTTCTCCCCATGATCACATTCAAAATTCTGCCCTTAACCAACATCATCAAGAATAGATTCACTAATCTTTCATCACATTTTTATTCATGAGATAACAGCTAATTTGTAATTTAACACTCGCCATATGAAGTTTTTTTAGGACAAGTCTGAGACAGGGGAAAGCGCTAAGTTAATGCACTTTCTTTCATCAAGGTATCCAGAATTCACATCCGATATCTTGCAAGCCTACTTTCGTACATTAGGGCATTGTCAGCTATCTCTGCTGTTCTCTTCCTTATCACAGAATAATATCCAACCACAAAAAGGAACTGGCATCTGACATTCGGGGTTATTGGTCAATATTATAAAAAGATTTCTAGCCCTTGACGGTTTGTAGTATTCACTCACTCTGTCTGCCAGCTGATGTTTTAATCTCTTCAGTTTTCTTCCCCCAGCTTCACAAATTTGATGGTAACCAAACCATTCTGTTTAGTCTTCAATAGACACTTTTTTGCAGAAACAGAACCCAATTAAGATGGTGAATATTTTCAGCCAGGCTAAGCTGTGCCATGTTTCCTGATGGTTTTGTCACAATGAAAGAAGTACAGTACTTTGCTACAGGCTCCATCTGCTGGTCTGTGAGCAGCACTCCTGCTGCTTCATGTTAGCAGCTGGTGTTGACAAAGGCATGAAAACTCAAACATCAGGATATCCTAAAGCTGCCAACCGTCCTTGAATTACATATTTATCACTACAGTGAGCAAGCCGGAATAAAACCTAAAACAATTGTGTGTTTTTCCTCCATTTTCTTTGACCATGTTTCTTATGATTAAGAATGCTGGGAGTGGCAGGGGTTGGAGCAAGACTTTTTGACTGGGCAAGCTGGGAGATCATACAAACATATGAATATGAATTAGGAGAAGAGGTAGGTCATTCAGCCCTTCAAGTCTGCTCTGCCATTCAATAAAATCAAGACTGATCTATCTGTGTTCCAAATTCCACATTCCCATTTATCGCCAATAGCAGCTCATTCATGTAATGAAACTTCTAATAATGCATGCAACTAGAGCTGGCAGCCCCAGTATCAACCTACTGTTGATAGAACAACTATGTGACCAAGGCAGCAAATGTGCAATAGCAAATCAAGGTCATGAATGATCAGAATTTCAGAAACTTGCAATTGTGTGGTTCTGATCCAAGGCTCTTTCTGTTATAACCTCTTTCCTGGTTAGTATTGTTTAATATCTGACGCACACAGCCTGCTACACAGTGGGCAATGTTACGGGGGGAGACATTCGTTTCAGTGTGAGCCAATGCCACGTACACACATTGATAACTCTCCTCCCATGATATAATTGGCACTTATCATATATCCCCCTTCACCAATGTGCATCTTGGTGGAGTGGATATTGAGCTTCTTTCAGCACTGCTGCCAGGCCCTCCGAACCTAGGACAGGGCACTGACCCAGGTGGTGATCTCTGACCTAGCAGATATCGTGCAGTGACATGGCCTTCTCTGTCCGTCCTCCAGGAAGAGGATGGCACTCCTTTGCAACACCCTGTCAACCAGGTGTCCAAGTTCCCGTTCAGATAACTTTGGTGCCAACTTGCCCTTGTCAGCCATCTCTGTCCAGTCACCCAGCAGATGCCAGGGATCCCCAGATGCACTGCAAGCTCCTGAAAATGGCAAGGGTGCAAGGGATGCTGATCTTAAGGTGGATGTCCAATGAGTGGCAAATTCCTCCTGGAGTGATGAGTGGTACACTGGGATGGGTGATATGATGTGATACTCGACACTGGATTGGAATGGCAATTAAAAGCAGTGAGCTTGGTTGAGATCCAACAAGGACCTGTGCCACCAAACATAGCATGACTTGCACTTACCCAAAAAAAGTCAGAGAAACTATCCTTACATAAGCTTCTAACTTACTTTCTTATCTTTGTGTCATTAGCAATCATATCGTCAGTTCCTACACTCAAGTTATTTATGTAAACCGTAAACAGCTGAAATCCCAACACCTAACCCATTACACCACTCATTACATCTTGCCAATCTGAAAAAAACTCATTTATGCCCTCCATCTACTTCCTATCTAGCCATGCCAATATGTTACCATCTATACCATGAGCTTTTATTTTCCACAATAACTTTTGATGTGGCACTTTGGATTTTTTGAAACTCAAATACAGTACATCTGCCAATTCTGCTTTATCCGCAGCACATGTCACCTCCTCAAAGAACTACAATAATTTGGTCTAAACATGATTTTCCTTTCCCAAGTCATGTTGTCTCAGTCCAATTGTGCTGAACGTATCTAAGTGCCCTGTTGCAACTTCATTAATAGTTCTAACATTTTCCCCAGGATAGATGTTAACTATCCTGTGCTTTCTGTCTCCCTCCCTTTTTGAACAGAGATGTGATATTTCCTATCTTCCAAACTAATGGGACTGTTCTTGAGCCAAGAGAACCAAGGCATCAATTAACTCACTAGCTACATTTTTTAAGATGCTATGATGAAGTCCATCAGTCCTTGGGCACTTCTCAGCCCACAGCTCCAACAATTTACTCATGCTATATTCCAGGTGACTGTCATTTTCCCGAGGTTTTTTAAAATTAATCTGGGGACATGTGCTTTGTGGGCTGGGCTTGCATGAATTGTCCACCCCTAGGTGCCCTTCAGAAGGTAGCGATGAGCTTGAACCACCACTATCCATCTACAAAGCTATTAGGGAGGGAGTTCCAGGATTTTGACTCAGTAATGCTGAGGATTGCCAATAGCTTGGAGAGAGACTTGCAGGTGGTAGTGTTCCCCATGTATTTGCTGCCATTGTCCTTCTAGATGGTAATTGCCTGGGGTTTGGAAGGTGCTAAGGAACCTTAGTGAATTATTGTGGTGTAACTTATAGATGGTACGACAATTGGTACAATCAATCCAGTCATTGTGGGATCAACTTAACTCTGTCTATCACTTACTGCTTATGCTGTGTGTAGATTGTTGCTACTGAACATCAGTGGTAAAGGGACTGAATGTTTGAGGATGCAGTGCCAATCTAACAGCCTGCTTTATCCCGGTAGATGGTGGAATTTGAACTCAATCAGAAAAAGAACGGAGTTAAGAATCTACTGATGACCATGAAATCATTGCTGATTGTTAGAAAACCCCATCTGGTTGACTAATGTCCTTCAGAGAAGGAAACCTGCCATCCTCACCTGGTCTGGCCTACATGTGGCTCCGGACCCACAGCAATGTGGTTGACTCTCAATTGCCCTCTGAAATGGCCCAGCAAGCCATTCAGTTGTACCAATCGCTACAAAGACTCAAAGAAATGAACCCGGACAGATCACCTGGAATCGAAACAGGCACCAGAAAAGACAATGGCAAAAACAGCCCTGTCGACACTGCAAAGTCCTCCTCACTAACAACTGGGGGTTAGTGCTAAAATTGGGAGAGCTGTCTCACAGACTAGTCAAGGAATAGCCTGGCATAGTCATACTGACAGAATCATACCTTACAGACAATGTCCCAGACGCCACCATCACCATTCCTGGATATGTCCTGGCTCACCGGCGGGACAAACCCAGCAGAGGGGACAGCACAGTGGTATACAGTCGGGAGGGAGTTGCTCTGGGAATCCTCAACATTGACTCTGGATCCTGTGAAGCCTTATAGCTTCAGGTTAAACACGGGTAAGGAAACCGCCTGCTGATTACCACGTACCATCCTTCCTTGGCTGATGAATCGGTACTCCTCAATGTTGAACAACACTTAGAGGAAGCACTCAGGATGTCAAGGACACAAAATGTACTCTGGGTAGGGAATTTCAAAGTCCACCACCAAGAGTGGCTCAGCAGCAGTACTACTGATCGAGCTGGTCGGGTTCTAAAGAACATTGCTGCTAGACTGGGTCTGCAGCAGGTGGTGAGGGAACCATTAAGAGGAAAAAGCATAGTTGGCCACATCCTTACCAACCTGCAGATGCATCTGTCCATGATGGTATCAGTAAGAGTGACCACCACACAGTGCTTGTGTAGACGAAGTACCGTCTTCATATTGAGAATAACCTCCATCCTGTTGTGTGGCACTATCACCGTGCTAAATGGGACAGACTTCAAACAGACCTAGCAACTCAAGACTGGGCATCCATGAGGTGCTGTGAGTCCTCAACAGCAGCAGAATTGTACTCCAGCACTATCTGTAACCTCATGGCTCGACATATCCCCCACTCAACCATTACCATCAAGCTAGGGGCTCAACCCTGGTTCAATGGAGAGTGCAGGAGGGTATGTCAGGAGCAGCACCAAGCATACCTGAAGATGAGGTGTCAAACTGGTGAAGCCACCAAACAGGAGCACCTGCACGTCAAACAGCAAAAGCAGCAAGTAATAGACAAAACTAAGCGATCCCACAACCAACGGATTGGATCTAAGCTCTGCAGTCCTGCCACATCCAGTCATGAATGGTGGTGGATGATTAAACAAATGGCACAGTGGCTCAGTGGTTAGCACTGCTGCCTCACAGCGCCAGGGACCCAGTTTCGATTCCACCCTTGAGTCTGTGTGGAGTTTGCATATTCTCCCCATGTCTGCATGCGTTTCCTCCGGGTGCTCAGGCTTCCTCCCACAGTACAAAGATGTGCAGGTCAAGTGGATTGGCCATGCTAAATTGCCCCTGGTGTTCAGGGATGTGTAGGTTAGATGTGTTAGCCATGGGATATGCAGGGTCACAGGGGATGGGTCTGGGTGGAACACTCTTCGGGGGGGTTGGTGTGGACTTGTTGGGCCAAATGGCCTGTTTCACACTGTAGGTATCCTATTATTCTAACTCACTGAAGGAGAAGGCTCCACAAATATCCCCATTCTCAATGGTGGAAGAGCCCAACACATCTGTGCAAAAGATAAGGCTGAAGTCTTCGCAGCAATCTTCAGCTATAAGTGCCAAGCAGATGATCCATTCAGCCTCCTCCGGTGGTTCCCCAGCATTACATACCAGTCTTCAGCCAATTCAATTCACCCGACGTGATATCAAGAATTAGTTGGAGACACTGGATACTGCCAAGGCTACGTGCCCTGACAACATTCCGGCAATAATACTGAAGACTTGTGCTCCAGATATTGCCGCTCCCCTAGCCAAGCTGTTCCAGTACAGTTATAACACTGGTATATACATGACAATGTGGAAAATTGCCCAAGTATGTCCTGTACACAAAAAGCAGGACAAATCCAACCCGGCCAATTACCACCCCATCAGTCTACTATTGATCATCAGCAAAGTGATGGAAGGTGTCATCAACACTGTTATCAAGCAGCACTTGCTCAGAAATAACCTGGTCAGTGAGACGCAGTTTGGGCTCCTCTAGGGTCACTCCAGACCTTGGGTCAAACATGGACAAAAGACCTAAATTCCAGAGGTGAGGTGAGAGTGACAGCCCTTGACATCAAGGCTGCATTTGACCAAGTGCGACATCAATGAGTCCTGGCAAAATTGGAATCAATGGGTATTGAGGGAAAACTTTCTGCTGGTTGGAGTCATAGGATGATGGTCGTGGTTGTTGGTGGACAACCATCTCAGC